TCTTTCCCGGGGCTGCCCTCCTCTGTCTCTGCTGCTTCACGGATGGAAATTGCCTCATTTCCAAGCAGCACTAATGGGGGTTTTGAGACCCAAGAACAAGGAGTGGGTTTAAGGTACAGTGACTGTTTTCTTCAGAAGTTATGTGTACCTACCCCTCACTTTCTTCTTTCCTACGAAGCCCTTGGTGCTAAATTAGCCACATCACGTGTAAATACTCAAACACAATTATTTTTACCGATTTAATTTCAGATGGTACAAAATTCAGAAATCTTTAGCAGGCTGTATCTCTGGCTTCAGCGCCATATGATACTTCTTAAAGGGGTGACGCTGAAGGAAGATTCCTGGACAGACATTAGCTTTTGCTTCCTCTGGCTCCTCAGGGCCCACGAGCTGAGCACTGTTGGGTTTTGGCCAGTGGGGAAGGGGTGGGCAATGTCCAGCTTTCCTGGTTCCTGTCCCTTCCCCACAGGGACAGGGTAGCTCCCCACATCACCCCTCTCCCCTGCTCTGCCTCCCTCACCCTGGAGGAGCCCCCAGTAGCTTTCCCATTACCTTTGTTCAGTGGGTTAGATGAGACAGAAATATCAACTTTGACCTTGGAGAGGGGTTTGTTGACGCCATTCCACTAAACAGAAGCAGAGGGCTCCAGACGGGAGAAGCCACATGGCTCCCAGCTGTCCCTTGCTAATGTTTATCTGAGCTTTCTTCTTCCCACACATGCGAGGCCCACGTATAAGCCCTCAGTCAATTTGAAATATCCGTCTGTTTTCATTGGCCTGGGCCAATTGGAGTCCTGGTTGATCCTAGAAAGCTCGGCGCCTTTCTCCAGCTCTGATGGGCTTTTGCAGACACACCTCAGAGATGCTGCGGGTCGGTCCAAACCACCACAATATAGCGAGTTGTAGTCCTTTTGCGTATGTACACATATATTACACACGTGTATATCCCATGTCAAACACATGTGGAAATCAGACATATCTCTGTCATACATCCCTCCCTCCCTCTCTCACACATGTACACTCATGGATTTATTGTGTACCTGCTGCTCCCTGGGAGAAACCCAGCTGTCCACCCTGTACAGGGTCATTTGTGTAGGACTTTGCCACTTTATTCCATCTTCCCCAGGGAACGGGGACCTCAGTGGCCCTTGAGGGGAAAAGAAGACCACTGCGGTGGCTGGCGGTGCAGCTGCAGCCTGCAGAGGCCATTGCAGAAGGGACATTTTGGCTACTTCATCATCTAAAGTTGTGCTTGAGTTAGGAGGGTTGCACGGACTGTCATCTTGAACATCTGGGCTGAGCTGTCTTCTGCTTCAGATCAGTGGGGTTTGTTGAGCTCTTGTGGTGAGTTGGGTGCCAGCCCATCACTAGAATGTCTTAGTGATTTTATCCCCAGATTTAAAGCCAGCAGGGAAGCATTTGTGAGGAGGCTGCATTTTCTCTGTCCTTCTGGCCTGTGTCAGGACAGGGCCTCCATCAGCCCCCTGTGACTGCAGAGATGGGATGCGTGTGCTGCACACAGCGGGGGCTTATTAAACCTGGGAGGTCAGCTCTTTTGAAAATCTCTGTAAGAGGCATTTCCTCAGGACGCTGAAGTTCAGCCATGAATTTATTTCAATAGGCACAGCACAAACTCTACACTTACAGCCATTATCGAGGGGGGAACATTAGGAAATAGTGTGTTTATGGAGGACGAGGTTGAATTGTCCCCCTGCCACTTAAACACCCTCCACGGTTTGTTTCCCTTGAACAAACCACTCAGTTCCTTTTGCAGTCTCCTTTGGAGACGGGCTCTGAAGCCCGAGATAATAGTAATTAAGCCACAGAATGGTGTTCAGACCCTGTGCAAATGTGGAGCAGAGCCACGAGCAGGAAAATCAAGACATTTAAAAGTGGCTTTTGAAAGAGGTCTGAATTGCCTCTGAAATGAATTTGCTCAACTCGAGAGGGGGGCGGAGAGGAGCACGAGGGCTCTGAGCTCAGTGGCTTCTCCGCAGAAATGCTGGTTGAGTAAATGAAAGGACGGAAGTCGGAGCTAATCAAACAGAGTGCAGTATCCAAAAAGAAAAAGAGAGAGTATCCAGGCTGTGGTCCACTAGGATGGAGCAGGCATCTGGGGGACGTGAACAGTCAGAGGGGCTGTGGACCACCTGGGCCTCTTTGAGGGGTCTCTGGGGGGTTCCCTACCTTGGGCCAGAAGACAGTGGGCATGGGAGAGCATGCCCAAGGGACTCAGGAGCCCCAGTTTTTGTGCCAAGTTCTATATTCATGTTTATTTTTAACTTCTTGAGTCAAAACCCTGGTGATCCATTAGGAGACCTTCGGAGGGGCTGTCCTAGCTTTGGCTGCACAGCTCCTTGCAGACGTCCAGCCTGTTAGACGGGTGGTGTTGATATAGTAAGAGGGGCAAATGCTATTACTTTTAAGCTTCACAAACAGCATGGCAGAGCTTTTATATACACATGGGTATAAAAATAATTCCAGGAAGGATAAAATCTCGAGCAGGGGTGGGGGGAGTACCTGAGATTTTCACCTTCTCTGTGATTTTGTTACTCATAAGTATATGCTATCAGAAGAAGGATAGTGCCAGTTATAGGAAGGAGAGCCCTGTGCCCGGGAGGCTCGGCTGACCCCCGTCTCCCCCACAGTACTCCCGGCAGGAGCAGGAGGAGGAGGGCCGCAGGCGATATGAGGCCCAGAAAATGGAGCGCATGGAGACTAAGTGGAGAAACGGCGACATCGTCCAGCCCGTCCTGAATCCAGGTAAAAGCCGGGGTGCCCTTGGGGTAGATGGCTGACATCTGTCAGCAGATGACAAAGGTGTCAGGTTTATGAACCTCCTCCTGGGGTTAGTGTGCCATACAGACCGCCTTCCCAGGATCATAGCCACCTGGTATGACAGGAGGGCTCAGCAAGTCCCCGGGGGCCTCGTGTGGCATTCCTGTAGGAACACCCCTCAAGCCAAGCACTGGCCGGGAGGCCTGTGTCCCCACGTGGTGGGCTCCGCTGCCTGCGCAAAAGATACCTGTTCATGGAGACCCAAGTTTACTCAGGAGCATGTCTGTGATGGCATTTCCACCTCTTATAAAACAGAATGACAGTGGCTTTTTCACGTTGGTGAGAAACTCTGCGGGCACACAGCCTTCCTTTCAGGGCGTTGTCCTTCAGTCCAGGGTGATCCAGGTTTAACAAAATGTCCACCCAAGACCCAAACAGCAGGTCAAGGGATGTTTTCCTCCAGGATGTTCCCAACCCCAACCCCAGCCCCAAGTCCTTAACAGAAGCTGAGAAGTCCTGGTGCACAGACACTCTCAAGGCAGGGCCTCTGGGGCGTCTGATCCCCTCGGGAGACGGTGAGCCCTGGGAATGGTGGGCCCTCTGGTAACGTGTTTCACCTATTGCCACCCCCGCACATGGCGATACATTTCCTCTGTGGGGAGAGGATTCTCAAGAACATGCCCTGTGCCTCCACCTCTGTGTGATGGACTGGCTCCTGTGATGAATGTCCCTGTTTCCTGCTGGGTTCTGCAGGGTGACACCTCCGGGGCCCTTCGTCCCCACTTCTGCTCAAAAATCCCCTTGTATCTGCAGCTGTCGCTTTTGAAACCAGAACCAGATTTCAGCCGCCTGCGGCTGTTGCCTAGCAACCCCAGGACAGGCCAACCTCTCATCCTTCAGGTGTCTTTTCAGAAAGTCTGGGAGTTCCTTAAAACCCAGTTTTCCCTATTGTTTTCTTCATCTGGCAAGAGAAAATACAATTACTTTGAACTCTTTCATCCACAGCCATCAGCTATCCAGCTTTAACTGCGTAGGCATTATTTGGCCATGACTGACCATCCATTTCGGGGGCTGTCGGGTTTATCATGAAATCAGCCCTGCCTTGTCCTCGGCCCTTGATTTTAAACAGTGTCACCTCAAAGCCTGGTCCCCCTGCCAGTACAGCCAGGGTCTTAGCAAGTCAGCCCAGGCCTTGCTCCTGAGCAGGGACTGGGCTCTGCCTCCCTGGGTTCATCCGGTGCCTGCCACCCCCACAGGCTGATTGGAGAGCCGGCCACGAGGGTGCTGGGTGCCTGTCGTGGGTTCACCCAGGGAGCAAGTGCCTTCTCCCCAGGGCCTGGACAGGCCCCGTCACACTGCTCCCATCAGTGCTTGTTCTGAGGAGGGAGCGAGGTGTGTGTGTATGGGGGGGCTGGGGACACGGAGGAAAGTAGGTTCTGGAGGCTTCAACCTCTCTGCCTCAGTGTCTTCAGCTGGAAACATAGAAAGGGGGAGTTTTATATTTGTCACGGCCATGCCTAACCTAGCGTGTCTGCCCTAAGGACCTAACTCAGGTTGTCAACATCATTTTGAAATTGCAGGTTCACAGATTAGGCACTGTACTTGTCAAGGTCATGGCCGCTGCTAAACCCTAGAATCCTAGTTCGTAACTAATAGAGGTTTATTATAAAGTCCAAATCAGGCGTTCCTAATGGGGGGTTCTCCTCCAGTGGTGGGGATTCAGGCCCTCTCGGCATTGTAGCTCCCTTCTGTAATAGGTAGCTTTCGGGGTTTCTTCGAGAGGAAAAAAAGCAGGAAGGCTCACATTGGGTCTTGATAGACAGTCCCTACCCCTGTGGACTGAGTTCACAACCAAGGGAAGGAGAAAGGGGGGTGGGTGCGTGGCTGTATTTTTCCCCCCATCAGAATTTTGGTGCTTTCACTTATAAAAAGCTCATCAATGCAAGTTCTAGGACTATTAAATTATTAGACATGGCTTACTTGATATTTTTAATTTTTAAACTTTAGTGCAGAACAGTGGGGGCATCTCTTTGACTAGGTCGTGGTAGTTACATCAAATTGCTTGTTATTTGAATTGACAACAGATTTTTATATGCAAATTTCCATTGTTTGAAATTTTAAAAATTCTTTTGCCATTGTCCACATGCAAGCCTCTTAGCTATCAAAGCAGTTCCAAAGATTGGGCCAAATTTGAGGCTTTTAGTTTCCGTTCATGCTATAAAGTAGTTGCTTTCCTGTCTTTTATGAGTGGGACACAAGCCAACAAAACCAGCGTGGTGAGCCCTTGTTCCTCGGGGCCTAGTTGCTCTTGGGTCTTGATAGACAGTCCCTACCCCTGTGGACTGAGTTCACAACCAAGGGAAAGAGAAAGGGGGGTGGGTGCGTGGGACAGGCCCCCACGCACCCACAGGGTTGCAGAGGGACAGGCCCAAGGGAGCTGATCTTTAAAATCAGGGTGTTTGGGCTGGTAGTGCTGGCTGGGGGGTTCCTCTGATGGTCGGGGCATCCTTCGTGGCTCCTTAAGCTGCCCCCCTCCACCTGATCTCCCAGGCAGGATCTGGGCACCAGAAACCCCTGAGGCTGGTGGTAGATGTCGCTCTGGGTGCACCTAACCAGCAGGGACTCACCCGCCACCCTCCCGTAGCACAAGGATTTCAGATGTCTTTTCCACTCCAGATGACATTAGGAACTGGGCAGGGCAGAGTCCTGGACTTTTCTCAAGGCCTTGTCATCCCCTGTAGCGCGTCAGGGCATGCCAGGTTACCCTGAGGCCCAGCGTGGTCTCAGAGAGTCCAGGCTGTCTGGACACCCCTAAGTCAAGGCCACAGGTCATCTATACTGACTGCAGTCCCAGGGGACACCTGGAGTGCCTTTCCTGGGAGCCTTTGATGTTACCCCCCAACTCCCTTGTACAGAGTTGTCTACATGCGAGGACCACTTGGCCCACATGCAGATGGGTGGACTGGATGGGAAGTAAGTCTCCAGAATGTGGCCTCTTGGGAGGGAATTCTCCACTCAGCTGCTGCCCACCAGCTCCTGCACCCCAGCACATGAGTCCTCTCGGCAGAGGCCTAGGCAACCCAAGAGACCTCACATGACACTGGGGCTGCAGGTGCACACAGTGGGCCGGGAAAGGAGGTGGAGAGCAGGCTAGTGGCCAGAACCACCAGGGAAGTAGGCGTGGATAGAAATGAGACCCCTCCTCAGAGCCCGAGCCCCGCTGTGGCTTCTGCCGCCATCGGGAGCACCTCGAGGCTCTCGGGCAGGGGCTTTAGCTCCCGCCCATCTCCGCACAGCCCCTCAGAGCAGGTGGCACTTCACACGTGAGCTCGAGACCTGAGTCTAAGTCTGCACTGTGAGGCTGGAGAACAACCAGAAAGGTCAAGTTTGGAAGTAAATACTTACAGCCTCACTCACTTGAGCTCCAGTTTTCCTGCTTCGTGACCCTTCAGGCAGCCATAGTTTGAAATCTCCCATGGAGGAGCTTCTGAGGTCACTGTTGATGCTTAGGGGATCCCAGGTACCACCTTTGTGCCACCAGCCCTGGGCTGCTCTACAACATCACTTCTTGCCCAGACTTTCTGTCCCTGGCCAAATAGAGAAAAGACCTTTTTTCACCTGAGGTGTGTCCCAGCTGTGGCCCGGCGGCTGGCGGACTCAGCAGGTTGGCGTTGTCAGGGCGGGGATGGGCCACCCTTTTGAGGACACTGTCGGGGCAGGAAACAAATGAGTGTCATCTCTGTCCAGAGGCTGTGGGAAGGCAGAGGGGTGCGCAGCACGGGGTCTGCTCAGAAAGCCCTAGATCAGTGCTCCCCCCACCTGTTGGAAGAGTCAGGCTCAGAGTGTAATATCTGCCTTCTGGAGGCTGGGCTTTGTTTCATCTTTTGGCAGTTCAGCAGCAGCATTGGGTGAGGGGGCAGAGGGCTGGCCATGGGAGGGCAAAGCCCACACACCTTTGAATGCTGTGTCTCCCTGGGCCCCGCCAGGGACTAAGGGTGGGCAGGAGTCAGGGTGAGTCCAGGCGCTGAACCTGCGGTGTCCTATCTGGTTCCAAGTCTCTGCTCTACTGTTGTGTATAATGATGTATAAGGTGAAACTTTTTGGAGGTTGTACAACAAATTCCTGAAATACTGTTGGCTCCTGTTTATAAAATAGGGAATGAAAGTCAGATAGATGGAAGACTGTCCTAACAGAGGGTCACACGCAACCCTGGGAACTCAGAGCCTCCAAGTGTTTAGTGGCTGCCCGTGGGTTGCAGTAACGCCATAACCCACTAGCAGAGTGGCTAATTAATCCTTGAAAGCCTTCTCCTTTGCCAACTGGAGTCTGTTTTGAGACCAGTTTCCCTTAGGGGTCCCAGGTGTAAGCTGACAGCCCTCATCACCATGCAAACACTGGGTGTGTCAGCACTGTCAGACCATTCAGCGTGGGAATCCAGCCAACCTGTCCCCTGGCCTAATCTGTCTCCTTTGTAATTCCAGAGCCGAACACTGTCAGCTACAGCCAGTCCAGCTTGATCCACCTGGTGGGGCCTTCCGAATGCACGTTGCATGGCTTTGTGCATGGAGGTAAGGATCAGTGGCTGTGCTTGTCCCACTCGGCGGGTCCTCGTTAATCCCCTGGGAAGTCAGGCTGCTGTCTGACCCAGTTTAGGCTCTTGTGTTTAATGGAGTATGCATTTAAACTTTTAAGAGGTTGCATAATAAATTACTGAAATACTGTTGATGCCTGCTTTGAAAATTGGAAATGAAAGTCAGATGGAAGATTGTCCTAATAGAGGGTCACATGCAACCCTGGGAGCTTAGAGCTACCGGGTGTTTAGAGGTTGCCTGAGGGTAGGGGCAGGGCCTTTCGGGCAATGCCAGCATCCCCTGAGAGTGAAGTCATGACCCACTAATAGAGTGGCGAATTAAAGCCATTTTTGCCACTGATGTTTGCATTTATGTTTTCCTTTGGTGAGATCCCAGCTCAAACAGCACAGGCCTTGAAGTTCCTAGCTCTGGAAACATGGCTGGAACTCAAGAGGACTTAGCCCCAGGTTCATGGAGGGTCACTTTTTACTTTCATAATGTATAATTACTTTTTTGTGAATTAGGAAAAATTTAAGTAGCACATCAAGCCCATAAATTAATGGATGTTATCATCTCAGATGGGATTAAAGTGTACTTTATTTATTTTTTAAATATATCTTTATTGATTTCAGAGAGAGGAAGGGAGGGGGGATATATATATATAGAGAGAGAGAGAGAGACAGACAGACAGACAGACAGACAGTCATCAGTGATGAGAGAGTCATTGATTGGCTGCCTCCTGCGTGCCCCCTACTGGGGGTCGATCCCAAAACCTGAGCTTGTGTCCTGACCTAGAATTGAACCTCTATCTCCTGGATCCTAGTCGATGCTCAACCACTGAGTCATGCCCAGCCAGGTTAAAGTGAACTTTAAAAGACAAGCTGAAAAACATAAGGGAAAACATCATTAAGTGGTACAGATGATCACAAAAGTTTTGATGGTGGTGCGTGGATGATGGAAGCTTGGGCTGCTCTGCTCTGGGTGTACTGAACTGTTCTTGCTCTGCGGGCACAACGGGCACTTGAACAATGCCATTCATTTGCACTCTCATTTCCAGTTGCCTGGAATGCCAAGCTTTCCTTTCTTCTTAGAAAATTCCTATTCATCCTTCAAAATCCAGCTCAAACGGTACTCTTCTGTGCGGGGTTACACTGGTATCTCTACCAGGGGACACCTCAGGAGCAGGGCTTGATCTTATTGTATGGCTCCAGGGTTTCACGTAGAGTGAAAGAGACATTCGTTCCTCAAATGAGAGGTGCATGGACGTCCAGGTTGAGAAGCTTGGGATAATGGCCCTGGGCCTATTAGAATTAGAGAGTGGACTCTGATTTGAGATATATTTTTAAAGTTCACTTCTTTTTTTAAAAAAATGAATCCTCTTTTGTCTGTTTCTTTTTTCAACTTCATGATTGTTTTCTTCTTTCAACTAAATGCTAGCTGCAGTGCCCTGCAAACTGATTAACTTGGATCCCACCCAAGGAAAGCTCTATTTTACAACAAACAGTACTTTCCAGGCCCATGAATATTGTGACATCCAGAGTATCTTTCTGCCTTAAGAACAGCATGGCTTGTGCAGCTGTGGCCTCGGAAGCCTCGCTGTTCCTCTTCCCCAACCCTTGTCTCCTAGAAGTGGGGGGCAGCCTCCTCTTGTGAGCCTAACCATCAGAAGTCCCTGCTTCTGTAACAGCAAAGAATTGCCCTTGAGACTCATAGAGCTCCATCCTACCTGAAGTTTGTGAAACTCCATGCTAGAAATTTTTGCTTATGTCAACCACACTTTGGAAGTTCACGACATGTGGCATCTCCGTCTTCGCCGTTTCCTTGATGCAAAGACCACACTAAGTGCTGTCTTCTTTCTTCACATGCTGGGGCTGCAGGGTAGGCGGGGAGAGAGTTGCCGAAACGCTGGAAGTGGGCACGTCACGTAGCTCATGTTCACTTACGGAGCCTAAGCTGTCGTTTGATACAGGCACATTTTTTAATGTGTGTTTCACAATGCCAATTCAGTAGGGATTTTGTGCCCACAATTTTAAAGTCTAATAATTTCACCCAACGCCGTCATCGCTCACAGTGCCTAGTAATTCGGCAGGAATAACGAATGAAGTATATGCAGGGAAGTGGCCACCCTGTGTTTCCCTGTCGAGTGAGTGCTGTTGACAGGATCGGGGTTGAAAGTCAGTTGAAAGTCTTCTCCAAACTGTAATTTAGTAGAAGCTAATTGCAGGGGGAAACAGTGAACCGAGGTGTTTGCTAACTTGTTTTCCCAGCAATTCTGTGCTGTACATGTGTTTTTGGTAAACGACTTGCGTGCCCCATTTTCTGTGATTTTCACATATTGTATAGTCTTGATCTTGAGGCCTACCTTCTACCCCACCATGCACACATGCTTGCGCGCGCGCGCGCGCGCACACACACACACACAGATCTTGGCAATGCTAAGTGGCTGGAAATCACAGATGCCAGCTTGGCTTTGGCTTCTGCCCTCCCTGAGTCCTGAATGAACTGGGCAGAGTTCTCCTTCCTTCTTTTGAAAGTGCTGGGATCTCAGCCCCAAAAAGGCCATTTCCCTTCATGTTCCCTTCCCCTGTTGTTGGTTGTACAGCCTGTAGGGTGACCTGGAGATGTGCTGGGAGGGTGTTTAGGTCCATGCAACAGTCAAGACCTTATAAATTCACCCAGACACCGTTGATAAAAACACTCAGTAAGAACAAGAATTGATGGTGCTTCTTGAACATGATACAATGCGTTATGGGGGCGGGGGGTGGCTTGGAGGACCTTCCCCTGAGCTCAGGATAAGGCAAGGGCGCCCATTCTCTCTCTCTCTGCTAGGTAACATTGTTTTGGAGATTTTAGTCACTGTAGTTAAATAAGAGGAAAAATTTAGAGGCACAGGAATTGGCAGAAAGGAAGTAAAGCTGTCTGTCTTTGCAGATGGCACAGTAACACCCAGAGAACCGAGATCCAGGGATAAAAATAACTTGATAATGAAGAATTCAGTAAGGTAGCAGCGTATAAAATGCATAGCACTTAAAACTCACCTGAAATAGAAAAAACAACTTTTTATGATTTTGGTTTGCAGGCATGTTTGTTTTCAAAGTTGTTTTTTCTGTCTCGAATTTTAACTATATCATGAAATGTTCCTTTTTGGTAATTTGGTAAAAAGGTGGGGTTTGCTTTTGTACCTGTTCACTTGACTCGTTTTCTTGAAGGTCTTGTTCTTGTTCTGTTGGCTCCTGAGATGTCCACTCTGATTTCTTTCCTCTGGGACTCTCCTTGCCTGGCCTTCCGTCGGCTGTTTCCATGTGGCCTGGGACAGTCCCTGCTCATGGCCAGCCAGGCGATGATGAGAAGAGGCACGGTCCCCAAGTGTGGGCAGCTGTGGCCAGACCCTGAGAGAGGGAGGCCTCCTGGGCGTTAGCCGCAGGCCGGACGCCAGGCATCCTCCACGGGAATTTTTCACTTCTGAACTTTCAGCAGCTTTGGATTTTTCTTTGGCACTTTATTTTTTTATTTTAAAATTATTTTAAACCAAAGTATTGTGTGGAAATGGTCCAGATAGCTTTTGACAAAACACAGATGCCCCTCCGGCCGTCCCACTTCGCAGCCTTAGCTGCGGCTTCTGGTACGGGACTCGCTGCTCCAGAATGTCTCTTGGTTTGCAAATTCCAGGCTTATGCTGTGTAAATACCACTGTGCTGAGCCAAGAAGGGTACTATGATTACGTGGCTTGTGTGGCTTTGTTACTGCAGTAGCTCGTTACTGCCTCATTTACCACTCTCTGAACACCAAGCCTCCCACCCCACAGCAGCTCTTTCAACGCTTCTCATACAGTTTGTGTGCCAGGTAGCTGTCGGTGCCAGCGTTGCCCCGGGGAGATCCGCCCTCCGCCCTTCCTCCAGGTTGCTCTGCTCGCTCTGCGAAAGGCAGAGTATTAACCAGGATAAATGCTCAGCTGCTGTGCTAAAGGCCGCCGTCAGCAGCAGCTTCAACAGGAGAGGCAAATACTGTGTCCTGTGTAACGATGCAGTCGTCAGGCCCGGGGCTGATCTGTCAGCTCCGTGGAGTTGGGGACCCGGGCTCCTTCTGCCCTGTTCTGTCGTCCCTGGGGGCTGCCCTCTCTGTGTTCCACGACGGCACGTTCCTGTGTCAGGGCTCAAGGCTGAAAGGCAGCGGAGGGCCCTCCAGCAAACCACAGCCACACTTGTGCTTTCACCCCGTTGGCCACATCTGCTTGAGAGGCTGGGTGTAGCCTGGCAGGCGTGTGTCTGTTGAACCCTGGAGTTGCTGTGGAAGAAAGGGAGGAACTAATGAGCTGTTTTCTGTCGTGGGCGCAAGGGTAGTTTTTCTGAACTTGCATGTGTGAAATGCTTCTGCTGGTGCGGCATCTCTCCAGGACGTAGAGGCTTGGTCACATCGCCTTCTGGTTTCCAAGGTTCTGGGCAGTTCTGATGATCCAGGGCCCTCAGAAACTCATGGCTAGAGAGTGCCTTTGTCTCAAGAAAGCAGTGACCATGTCCTCACACCCCATTCCCTCGACCTCTTGAGGGCATTGGACACCACTGACTGCACCCCTAAAATCCCCCCTGGTTTCCTGATGCCACACTCTCTGAAACCATGATGTCCCACACTGGTGCCATCCGAGCAGCCAGGTGAGACACAGATGCCTGGCCCAGGCTCTGCTCCTGCATGGCAATGCGCTTCCCAGCTGGTTCCCCACTGCTGGTGAGGACGTCTGGGTGCATGTCCAAGTCTCGATTGGTCCTCTCACCTGCCCCTGAGTGTAACTCTTCCCCCAGTGACTGTCCTGGGCTTTCTCCTCCCCGTGACTCACCCAGCCCTGTGGCTTCTGTGACCTCCCCCATGAGCACTGACTTGTTTATATCCTGCTGGGGCGTCTCCTAGAACTCCGGTGGCCATGGGCTCCTTCTCTGGGACGGTGGCCGGTGGACATGATCTCCCTTGATTTCCCCTCTCGCCATTTTCCTCACAACCTGTGA